AACTGGGTTATTTAATCGGAAGAAAGTCAAATTAAAAAAAAAGAAAAAAGAAAAAAAAAAAAGAAAAAGCTATTGTTCCTTCTGTATATTTTCAATTGCTCAATAAAGTCTGTGGTACTGTTTAATTAAGAATACCTGAATTAAGCCAAACATGATATTTGTTTCAATATGTTGTGATTTTATTTTCAAAAGCAAAACTCAATAGAAAGGTTCAAAATCACTTATGACTCTGATTTCTAGGGGTGGTACACTGCAGAATGAAACTTGCAAAGGTAACTATGACCTCTTTTTCCACTTTTCTGGGTGGACTCTTGAGCCCCGCACTCTGTTGTTGTGACAGATGTCATTAGCTTTGTCTTGTGTTTAAATGGCATGAGGAATATCCAAGATACCAGGCCACTTCATGGACTTGTACGTATCATTTTCTTTTGCCCTCCCCACTTCCTTTCTCCATACAAAATTGATGGAGCATGGGGATTTGCTGCTTGCACTATAATGTATGCAACTTTGATGCACTAATTGTGCACTGCTCTGAAGCACAGAGGCCATGGTCTCTGTTCCTCCTGCCCCCTTTTATTTTAACAGGAAAGACCCTTTTTTACATGGATAAAATGAATGATTTAAGGTATACTCAGATATTCTGATCTGTCAGGGAACGATTTAATCAAAAAATTAGCTGCGAACCTCAGACTATATAAAACGTTGGGAATTTTTTTTTTTTACCCCCATTGGTTTTCAGTATGTTTAGATCAGAAGATTTAATCATTCCAATAACTAAAATTAGTTGTCAAAAAATATTGTACTTGGTTTATACTTCAGTCCAATATGCTTATTTATGACATAGGCAGTCATCAATAATATGCACCTCACAAGATAAGAATGTAGTCTGAATAGATTATCCTCTGATTTACATAAACTTCATAGATTTGTGATTGAGTTACTTTTATTTCTTACACAGGTTCAGACTTTCCCCATCTCACTGACTGACTAGCCCTTTATGCTTGGGATATACAGGAAAATACGTAGGACTAGGAGCAACAAAATAGGAAATTCACACTTATTATTCTTGGACACGTCTCCCAAAGTCTCTGAGCTTCAGGGTCGACTGTAAATTAGAGACGGCAAAGGCCTCCCTGCCTACCTCACAGGCTTGTGTGTGGTTCAATAAGCGTCTGTAAAATGCTTTGCCAACAATAAAGTCTTGCAAACACCATCTAATTTTCTAATTCCATTACCTTATAAATGTATAGTTACATACATTTTGAATAAAATATATAATAATGGGATTTCATAAAACTTCAACAGTGAAGCAACTGCTAATTACACATTATATATACAAGTTGATTATTTTAATATTTTGCTAAATAAGTTAAATTTTTTTAGAATTTCTTGGAGTTATCCCTCTAAATTGTTTAAATAATATGTTGCTGTTGTTGCTATTGGTCTTGATTTCATAGCATTTTTGAAGGACTATTCTTCAAAAATAACCACATTTATGTATTAATTGAAATCTTCAAGATTTCAAGAATTATTCCAAGGGGGGAGTTTTTACTTTGCTCTTTAAATTTATCATAATCTAGTGTCCTCAAAAGTTATATGACATTTTCTGTCTGATTCTACCTGTGTGCAAAATTTTTAATTTTTGCCTCTGTTTGCAACTGCCCTATGCTATTATATTTCAATTTTGAGGTATGAGAAGTCAGTAAGTTTAATTTGGATAATTCTCAATTTGTGTTTTAAGTCTGATAAATAAAATGAATTTAATTTTTTTACAACATTTTAACTTACCAGATGCTACTTTATCATTTTTTTATATCATGATAGTTTGTTTCTATTCTGGTATATACTTCAATCAAAAGTCTCTCAGAGGCTTTGGGGAGTAACCTCTGAGGCACATACTCTGATTATACTAACGTCGAACTACATTTACCCTGAAAGAACTGTTAACTTTTGGAAAATTTCTTTGGAGCCTGGTGTTTTGACTTGCAAAGGGGACCAAGACAGCCAGGTTTTGGGAGTCCATCGAGCTTTTCGATTTACATTTTTGACACACTATCCACATCTTTTCTTTTGTTATATATGCATATATGTTTTTAATATTCAGCTGGTAATTTTATAGATGAGTGTTTGAAAGATGATAATGTGTCTGTACCTTTAACCATTTACATAAAAGTCAAGGTCCTCTGCATGGTTTCGAGTACTAAAATATTTTCTGTTTTTGTAGAAAAAGCACCAAGATCCATCTAATTTTAATTACACATTATAATGGTAATAGTTTGCTTCTAAGCCCCTGATATTAAATCTAATATGGAGGAAAAATGGAGCTTCTATAGCGTTGAAATATTACCTTTCAGTGTTGATTTATTTCAGAATTTTTTTAATGAAAGCATTCCAAGCATTATTTTTTATATGAACTCTGAATCTAGGCAATTATATTATTATTATAAGTATGGATTGGGTCTCATATTTTTTATTCTGCTATTTTCAGTAAAAAAAAAATAATAATAATATGCAAATACTTTGAAAATGAAATGAAATCATTTAACAGTCATTACCTTGATCAAAAGCTCCAGTTTATGAGTGTTAAAAGAAAATTCTCAAAAAGTTTAGTGATCAAAGAGTTGGCACATCAACTCTAAGCATTCATCAGACAAATAATCAGCCCTGGAATCATACATGATTCCATATGGAATCAGAAATGTAATCACTAATATGTCTCGGTATATTTTGTAAGTCACGGTTATATTTAGAGATCTAAATAAAATATAGCTTTGAAGTCAATTTACTTCTTCCTAATAAAATGATGTTTTACAGACAGAGCCAATGCAAAATTATAGCTGCTAGATTAGAGGAAATATAAATTGTTATGATAATTTTTTATCCAAGGTTTTCTTATAAGAATTTATAAATTTTAACTATTCTTTGTGCAAACACTGAGAAATTAATAGGCCTTGCAGAAATTACTAAAGATCTATCATCAGAATTTTTTTCTATGACAAATCTATACAAGCGCAGATTTGAATTGGAGAATGAAGACAAAATTATTCCTAAAATAAGGCTCTAAACACGATTAAGTTGTCACTTTCCTATAACATGGTATGAGAAAGAAAATATTCTGAGAGAAATTGCATTTATGTAATCAAACACACAAACATCCACGCACATCTATCTTCTTGGTGAATATCCAAGAATACAATAATGGATATTGGAGAGTACACGATTTATAATTGTAACTTAGATATTGACAGAATCCAAATATGTGAAGTATACAAAACTTTAGTAACCAACATATGGAAGATTCAGCTAGAATTTAATGAACAGATTTTTTTTGCCTTTATTCTGTATCCAGCCTAGCTCAGCTTTCAGTATTGTCAATGACTGGAGCTAATTCACATATGGTTAAACAGAGCAGACAAAATTATCAAACAATAATAAATCATTATTTTAGAAATGATTCAATGGACATAGTGAGGCTATTAAATACTAGCAAGTGCTTTGACCTTGATACTTATTGTACTACAACGCAGTCAAAAATCTGGGCAGAAGAAAGGAGGTGTTTGAGGTCTATCATTCTCAGCAATACAGAAAGATTAAATATACAACTAGTCTTTGTTTTGTTTGTACAGA